TATGTATGCATGCATGTATGTATTTTGTGTATGGATGTGTTTTCAGCCAGACACATCTTCCTTCATTGCATATTCAAGTTCGGATAATCTGTCATTGTTTTATGCTGCTTGCATGTTCTGGGCTGTCGTCGCTAGACTTTTGCGATTATACGCCTGCTTGCAATTATTGATATCCTTGTCATTGGTAGCAGCGCAAGCAGTACACGCGCTTAGGCTTCCATGCAGTTGTGCGTACCTTCCCCGCAAAAATTCACTCTTGCCGCATGCATGCATACAATGGCCTACCTGCTTGTGGCAAACGCAGTATCCGAAGCTACAGACCTACTCAAGCCTCTCTTTGCTCACGTTTGCATACATGTGCCTATGCAAGATGTGAGTGTTTCTCCAGCGTAGGGCATGTAAGGCTTCAGGATACCTTGCTATAAGACCTTACTTGCGTTCTCTGAAAAGTAAGGGTCCTAGCATTCAGAACTTCTCGGGGTTCCGAACTCCAAAGAAAACCGCGATGCCAGCTCATCCACTTCATCGCCGAGTGGAAACCTTGGCGCTTCACGCCCTCGACCATCCTCCAGATACCTGGAAGATGTGTGGGATTTCGGATTTAGGGTTTCGAGTTTAGGGGCTAAGGCCAGGGTTTAGTAAACGATTACATGTTAGGAGCGAGCTACTCCTCGGTGTTATGCTTCACTCACATGTATCTGCCAGTGCAGGACACCTTATCTTGTGGTGTGGAAGGCTTTTCTGCATGATTATAAACTATAGTAGTTATCGTAGTTAGAGTCATTATAGTCACTATAGTCATTAGTAAGTGTAGCAATTATAGTAGCTCTTATAGTAATCACTGGAGTGATCCTTCAGCCCTTCGTCCTGACCAGCAACCGGCTTTCAATGTTCACGCGCCTTTTCCAAGGAAGCGGTGCCCTTTGCCGCAACCGGAGCTGCAGCAGATTTACAATGCCTGGTGGAGGAGTTCGTGGGCTCAGGGCTCTAGGAGTAGAGTGATGAAGCAGTATAAAGAAAGTAGACAACAGGGTAACATGACAGAACATTCTAGGATAGAATTGAACACCGTAAAATGCAGCTTGAACCGCATGAACAAAACATGATAAAGTGTAATATGTGTCCATATATATATATATATATTGTTTACTTATTGGTTTATGTCTTCATTGGTCCCACAACATCCAGCTCTAGCCAGAGATGCTCGAAGCCGTTGCTGTGAGTTGAAGGACCCGGGATTTGGTCTGCAAATAGCCGCAGCTATGGGTCCATCCGGAAGCTGCGAGCTCTTCCGAGCATGAATTCGCCCACGGGAGCAGTAGCTACGGCATGCTGTTTCACTGTTTGCCGGTGTGGGCATCTGCTGCTGCAGTGTTGCAACTGCACATCTGCGGAGCCAGACTCGATCAGAATTCTGATCTTCGTTTCAGACGTTCCGCGCCCTGACGCCCTGTCAGCTGGAGAAATCAAGAGGTGAAGGTCCCGGTACTTTCAAGGGGGCTACCAAGTCCTAACATCTTAACAAGTCTGCTGCAGCGCTGAGTTCGAGCGCGAGCACAGGCCCAAATACAGGCTTAAGCTCATGAGTGTAGAAGCAGAGGTTCGCACCTTTGTTGCTGTGCCTGGCCTGGTCAGGTCACCTTGCAGCGTGCACAGTGGCTGGAGGCTGGGTTCCTCGAGTTCGGGGCGAACCAGAGCATAGTCGGGTGAACATCCAGGGTCCATGGGCATAGCCCTGTGCTTGCAGTCGAGGAAGGTTTCTGTGCCACCGGCTGCCCGAAATTCGTGCAAAGGGTTTCTACATGAATGATAGACCCGCAGCCGCAGCACTCTAGACTATCATTCAGGAGAAGAAGTGTCGTAGCAACAAGACCAAACAAAACGCCATACCTTGAGCCTGCAACACGCAGCCGATTTAGTTGAAGAAGTGTAGCTGTGCATGCTTATTGGTCGAGGTATAGGGTGTGAACACTTACGAGTCCCTATATCGCCCGATACGACTGTACACCCCACTACACCCTATTCTAGCTGTAAGCTAAAGCCGATGTGAACTGAACACCTGTGGCAGGACGGCGGGCTGCTTGAAAGCAACGCCGCTTCGGAGGTGCCGAAACTCTTTTGGCTTTGGCTAGCTTCTGTAAGGGCTTAGTGGGAGTGTTCTTTGATGTTGGCGCATTTTTTTGAAAGGCTTTGGAGTCTGGTGGTTTGGGCCCCAGACGCGACCGGGCGTTTGTTTTTTTTACATCTTTGCGGTGTCTAGCTGCTATATATCTGCATGTCAGTGTTTCCCCTATTTTGTCGAGGCCGTCCTTCTCTTTTCCAGCATCCCGGCCATAAACACCCTCTCAGTCGCGCCAGTCCAAACCGCCCCGCCAGGCCAAGTCGGAGATCAGGACCCGGGAATTCGGCTTTTTGTATCATCATACCGTCGGAGTCCTTAGAGTTGGAGCACTTGTGGGCCATAGGGAGTCGGAGATGGATGTGGACGCAGACCGAGGAAAGGCTGGTAGCTCGGACAAAGGCGATGTTACGAGCCAAATGCCAGAAGCGATCATTCCAAGATAAGAGGACAGCGTATCATCACAACACAAAAGACTCCGGGTTCCCAGTAGCAAAAAGGTTTTGCTTCTCGATTTGCTGCAGCAGCAGTGGGGGTGGGCCTGGTACCGCAGCACCCAGCTCCGAGACGTAGACGCAGGTTGCAGGTTTATGGGGAGTTTGGGATGACGTAGAATCGGGGTGGGCGACAGGAACTTTGTGGCTGGATCGCTGCTTGCTTGCAATAATCCGCAGCCCTTGCGACATCGTATCATCGAGCGTGAACGCACCCGCACACTGTAAAGAGGCATCTAACCCAACACCCCAGACCCTAAAGCCCAAAACCCGACTATGTCGTGACATCATAGCACCTCAAAGCCAGCCTCTGCTCAGGCGCCTGCCAGGTATGACTTGTCCATGGTGCCTTGAGATCCAAGAAGCAGGCTCATGCCGATTTCAAACGGCTTCTTGTGGTATCCTTAGCCTGTTGACAAGCACTGTTCGAGCGTCCGCTGAGGAATGGTGCACGCGTCGGCTACCTGACCAAGGCAACGAGGGCGTGAGTGAGCTTTGAAAAGCTCGTCGGTTATAGTTCAAAGTTGGCCTTGGAGAAAGGCTCGCCAGCCTAGATCATTGCCAACTTGTTGATTGTTTGCTTCATTTCAGCTTCAGAGGATCCCAAAACAGAGCCGCTTCAAGCCCTATGTGAGAGCCACGAACAACCCTATAGACCCGGACCATGCGCTCCAGTTAAGACGCCCGACTACCCGGTCACCAAAGGCGTGTTCTGTTGCGTGGCCATGAGCTGACCTACTATATGAACCAACTAAACCTATACCAACTGCATTCTTACGCGGCACAACGCGGGAGTGAGGGAGCAATCATAGTCCGTAGTAGTGAGACGAGTATTCGCAACTGTTTTGGCCACCAGTGTGACTGTTGCCTATGGACTATGGACATCCTGCCGCGAGAACCTCAAACAGAATGAGTCACCGCTATGACCACAGAACCAGTAGGACCCTGCCTGTTCTTACGAGTACGACTATGCTAAGGGTGACGATTGTGTTAGACTTGTTAGACTTCTGATTACTATTACTATTTTTCTTATTATTATGATAAGTACCATAGAACTATATAGTTACAGTAATTATGACTCGAAGCTTGTCGCTCTGCCAGGAAGGGCTCCTGGGTGCGCTGAAAGAGCTGGGTCTGGCGGCCATCGGCAATGCCGAGGAGGTGCTCTTGTGGAGTTGTGGTTCAGGAGGAAAGGGGTATACAGGGGGTGGTGAGTTTCTGTGGTTTTTGTTCTCCGTGAGTTGGTGTTACCGTATCCTCCGGACCCAGTGGCCCAGTTTTTGCTGAGAGGGTGTGTTACCAGGTCGTACAGTACGATTGCCTATTCGATACGTTTGCAGGCGTAGACACAACATGGTATGCTGCATGTCTTTGGGAACCCAGGCTTCGGATCTCACCCGGAAGCTGATCGTGGCGAAGAAGGCGCCGGCTTGGGAGCAGTAGGGCACACCGTGTCGCTTGCGCGGGGGGGCCTCCAGGGGTCCGGAAGTGGGTCGGGTTCTCACTGGACGCTTATGCAGGTTTCAGGATGACTTTGCCCGCAGATGCTACATCTTGCTTGGCTAAATGTCTTGATCTCAACAGAGGCGAGCCTTTAACAGCCTGAACATATGTGACCCTGCCAAGGTGCACATCTTCCGTCACCTTTCAAGCGAGCAGATCAATAAGCCCCTTGTTCACGTACTATGAAGCCTTGAGCTTGTCTCTCAAACTTGCTGATGCTTTCTCTCCTTTGCACCGCATGGCCCTAGAAGAGCTCAGGGGGTTAAGCATTGTCCACAGGAGAACTCAGGCGCGGATTTTTGTTGTCTGCTCGGGCTTTGAGCCTTCAATGCATTGCCCACCGAAAAGGCACCCGCAGAGCAGCAGTGCATGGTTTGTGGGACCTTCAGAAAACAAGGACCCTTAATTTTCAGGTATCCTACGATATGTTCATGGCAGAGTTGTTGATTCGTCAGAGAGCAGCCAAGGTTGGTTCAGTCGTTCGTGCTGCAGCGCTACCGGAAAGGTGCCACCGACTTCATAACAGCTACCAGAAGAAGTCGCCAGCACCATCCTACAAGCCCCAAGCCCCAAGCCCCTGCCTTAACCAAGCCGAGCGCCAGCACCACGAGCTTGACCACCAGTGCTGACAGGTGCCCATGTCATTAAGCAGGGTGAAGTTGGTGCTTCCTTCTTCGTCATCGCTAGTGGCGACGTCAATGTCGAGATCGATGGAAAATTCATCCGCCCCCGGCTCAGCCCAAATCAGCCGTGCAATTCTCGGGTCTACGGAGAGTACGCTCCCTCTAGTTACTAGTTTCATGCTGCGCGCCACGGCGAAAGCACTCTTCCGTAAGATTGTTCGAAGTGAATGCATGGGTTCAAGTTTCGTCTTTTCGTGCAAACGGGTTATGCCACTGTAGAATTCAGTCACGGCATGCGAGTCAGAAGCAGAATTATTTGTGTACGCCTCCCTCCCCGAAAGGATTTTACCCGAACCCGAGAGTGGACTATCGGATTTCTCAGGTTGGGAGACGTGTCTGGTTCAGAAGGTGTTCAGATCCTGCCGCATGCAACCAAGGTACCATGACGAAGAACTCCTACTTTGGCGAGCGTGCACTGCTATTCGATGAGCCGCGCACAGCCACCGTGGAGGTCTGGACCTGGGAACCCGGGAAAGTCGGCAGAAATCTCTCCTCGCCCCAGCAGAGCGATGAGTTGATGGGGTGATGTGATGCACCCGAGTTGGAAGTGCGTTCTGCTGGTGCTGGAGAGGCCTGAGGTAAGGTCAGAACCACGGTGAAGCTTCAGCCTGGAGCCTCGAATCCAGAAACGATCATGCTGGGACCCTTGAAACCGAGCGCCACGCCAATCGAGAACCCTACGCTCTGGATTAAGCTGAGAAGGCCGAAACCCACAACATCTTAGCCCTACCTTGATCAAGAGCGGCCCTTCAGCTCACGGAAAGGTTTCTTCCCCAGAAGCGGAGCTCTGGTCTATCGAGCACTTCGGCGGCATCTTCATTGGGGCATGTTGGGTTGGGTTTCTTTTCAGACCTTGGGGCTCAAAGGCAAGTCTGCGCCCTGGTAAATGTTGGGTTTCTCTCCAAGAAGAATGGTTACTATCTTCGTTCAAACTGTCTGCAGCAGATCCAAGGAAGTCCACATTCTCGTCCATTGTCGCTGGCAGCTTCGATGCATTTAATGCAGGTCGCAGACAACCATGCTTCGATGGAGCTGCCCCTTCGCACAGTTGTTCACCTACTTATCATATTATACTATAGCATAGTACAGTATAGTACAGTAAAGTCAGTTTTATAGCCACCCCAACCCCATCAGCATCCAAGGAAAAATGCAGCAGGAGCTGATGCACCGCATCCGCCTGCAACCAACTCGGCAAGCAGAGGGGTAATAGATTTTACAGTCATCTAATAGCATATTACCGCATATTATCATAGTGAATTATAGTATATCATGGTGGTATACTTTAATTTATTATAATATACTATAGTAGTAAAGTTATAGTATGCTATAATCGTATGTTATACTATATTATGGTATGTTATCGTGTATTATAGTATCTTATATTACTAAAAGGGATAACCACTAGTAGCTTCCGAAGCAAGTGCACCCGATCGACGAGCATGTTCATTTCATTGGCATAGCGGACGTCGGGCTGGGTAGTCTGTCGTGCTAAGAGAGCCTGGCAATCGTCGCGGTTCATGAATCCCTCATTATGTTGTGGAGCAAGCTTTGGATTTGCAGTTCAATCGCTGCAGCTATTTGGCTTGGACATACCCTTGTCATCCCAAATTCCGATACATATCTGTAGCAAGGCGCTCGAACTGTGCAAACAGTCTCCTGCGCCTGATCTTCGCCTCTCCAAGAAACTACCGGACATGTCTGCGAATCCATCTACGCTCTCTTCCTTCGCGGCGGAGTTCCAGCCAAGTGGTGCTTCTCCTGCGCACTCCATGCAGAATCAATATTATTCGTCCTCGGCCACGTACTGCCAGTACCAGGGCCAGGAGCAAATGCAGCAAGGCGCCATGACTGGCTACTATGCGAACACTGCGTATGGCTACGACTGCTACCAAGATGTTGCCTACAGCAACGCAGCCTACGGTGGTGATGCCTATAATCAGGGCTACTATGGAGGCGGCCAATACACCAATTCCAATTTTGGCCACTGTGCCAAAAGCGCTTACAACGGCCGCCCCCGCCACCCTCGTGCAGTCCCGCGGATGATCTAGGGCTTAGAGTTTGAGGATTGAATTTCAGAGCCTCGTAGACTTGATCTGGTTTTTGAGGCTGCTTCTTAACTGCTGCGATGAGGGCCAACCGAGCTCCCTTAGCCTTAGCCCAAATCCTCAAGCTCTGAGACTCAGTCGTGCCGCCACTTTGAAGAATCTGAGGCTGCAATCAATCTCGACGATTTCTCTGACATCTCCGATTCAGCCACCCGATCTGACCACGATAGCTCGCTCCAGTAATATGATATAATTTAGTAAAGAATAACAAAGTGTAATATGTAACATAACCTTTAATACGGGTAGATAAGTGGGTGTAGTTCGCGCATGCACGACCGTGATTTTTGAGATGCCCCGCCTTGCTAGGTGCAGCAAGTTTCTTAAATGTGCCCCAAGTTATGAAACCAGTATAGTCCAGCTCCTAAGGATTCTGATGCGGAGATCCCCGCCAAAATCGCTGCTGCGTAGCCCGGCTCAGAGATGATGTGCTCAACCTTTGAAGGATGATAGTGTCTCGGGGCATGCTCTGACCGGTCGGCGAGAGCTAGAGGGAGTTTTTTGATTAGGTTTCGGGGGTTGGGAATTTCGCATGCTCCTCGATTCCGGGTCCAGCGTGCCGAAGATGGGAGTGAACTCTCCAGGAAAGAGAAGAAGGTGCCAGACGCCCTGGAGACCTCCAGCGAAGCCATCTCCGAAGACGCTTGTCTTGTGCCTTTTCGGGTGATTACAGCAGTCCCTCTGAACGCAACGGCGGGGAGAGGGAGAGAGAGAGAGAGAGCCTGGACGCTGCTGCTCCGTCACGCCCTGTGTGTAGAGAGAGAGAGAGAGAGACAGTGAGAGAAAGCAAGTTTTGAATAGCTGACAGGTTTTGATAGTCAGTTATTGCTACTGTCTAAGTCTAAGTCTAATCCTCGCCTGCTTCGTCGAGTGCGAGTGCTAAAAAAAGTCTAGTAGGAGGGTGTTGTCTCCGAGTAAGTCTGAACCGACAAGGGTTGAATTCCCACCCCGCCGGCCAGTTTGATCGCCCCCTAGGGCCTAGGGCCTCATGGTTTCAGGATGCTGAGCCGGCAGAGGAACCGTCGCCCTGCGCTGCCGATGAGGCTGCGGGCTTGCTCGAGGTGCGCCGACGCCTTACTTTGTCAGGTCCTCTTATAGGTCGTCAGTAAGAAGCTGATCACAAGCCCCTTTATCTGGGATTGTGAACTGTCGGACTCCGCTTTGCATGAAACGGCCGAGGTTTGGGAGCTACAGCCGGAGATTGGCTGTATCGCTTGTAGTATCGCAATACCACGAAGACGAGAGTTTCATGTGACGGCGTTGCCTGATTCATGTGATGTGCATGACAGGGCAAGACTTCCACACCATCCTCTTGCGAAGAGGAGCACGATAGGGAACGGTCAGCATTCCAGAGGAGTTCGGTCCAGGCCTTAGGCTTAGGCCTATTACTTTCTTGTTCTCTAGAGTGAGAGGCCATGGCACCACCCTGACAGCTCAGATCTTGCTTCCAAGTACAGCCTTCAAGGGAAAACCAGTTGCTTCTATCCCCGTGCTGCCTGCTGTTGTACACATGATACCTACGTACCTGATACTCACTGCAGCGGTCCACAGACTGGTGCTCTGTCCCTCGCAGATGTGTTTGGCATGTGGGCTTGTCACTATGTGGATACAATGTTTTCACCCTGTGGAATCAATGATATCTTACCGCAGGTAGTAATGCTGAGGCAGTTCGCACCAGAGCAAAACATAACAAAGGCCGTGCGAACCCACAGTTGAAGGCTTTGCGCCCCAGCGTCGAAACCCAACTTTACACCCCAGCTTCGAAAACCTAAAGCCCTCTGCCTGCCTTCAGTTGGGGAAAAGACACCCAGCCCCAAATCCACAACGCTGAACGCCGCCTAAACGAAACCAGCAACAAAAAACTGGTTTCGGCGAGTGTGAGCGGCAAGAACTACCAGGAAAACCTTCAACCTGAACCCTAAACATCTGAAGCCCGCGGACGGAACAAGGAAAAGCACGAAACCTGAGACCCCTGCTGCATTGAACGAAACCCTGAAATCCCTAATCCCTAAACCCTAAACCCTAAACCCTATCCCTAGATGCCCGTTCTGATGCTTTAGGACGCCAGCTCAGAGGCGGAGCTCTCCGTCAGCTCCGGTTCCTGCGAGCCGGCCCCTGGGAACCCCAAAACACCCTTTAAGGATTCTGCAGAGATTCCTTTTACGAGTACCTTTAAGGGGTCCTTTGCGGGTTCCGTTAAATTTAACGGTACCTTTAAGGGCTCTATAACATTGGGGTTTCGGCTTTCGGATTTAGGGTGTTAAACGAAGGCACCGAAAAGGTTTTTGAAGGAATACTACAGTGGCTATAGGACACAAGCGGTCCACAGTTACGGTATGAGGGTTACGTATATAGGAGCCTTATGTCGCAAGGCGGGTGGGGCTTGGAGTTTTGGCTTCAGGATGGGGGTTTAGGAGTTTGGGTTGGGGGACCTGGGCCAAGATGCGGGGATGACGGTCCGAGTTGTGAAGCACAGGAAGAGGAGGAGCTTGGCCCCATGATCAGCGAAGAAGTGGCCTCAGATCCGGAGACCGTCTTCAGCCTGAAGCA